GAACTTATCCTCTGCAGCAGAGGTAACTCTGGGTCTTCCATTCCTGTGGCGGTCCTCATGAGAGCCAGTTTCATCATAGCGCTTGATGGTTTATGTGACTGCACTTGAAGAAACTTTCAAAGTTCTTGAAATGTTCCGTATTGACTGACCTTCATGTCTTAAAGTAATGATGGACTGTCGTTTCTCTTTGCTTATTTGAGCTGTTCTTTTTTTTATTATTATTATTATTTTTTCTCTTTTTTTTTTTTTCTTGGGGGGAATGGATCAGCTTAATATTGCAGATAGATTGTATCTTCTATCAATGTAATTGTCTGCATCACTTCCAATCCCCCATGTTTTATTTTTTTTATTTTTATATATATACTCCCCTTTATTACTTTTCAACCCCACCATCCTTTCCCTACTTTGAGTAAATTAGTGAACAACAATGAGCTGTTCTTGCCATAATATGGACTTGGTCTTTTACCAAATAGGGCTATCTTCTGTATACCCCCCACATGATTCCATATGTGTTATTTCATAGTTTTGATGTCTTCACTATTATTCTACAATGTAGAAAATAGTAAAAATAAAGTAAAACCCTTGAATGAGTATGTGTTCAAAATCCTTTCACCGGTAGTGTATATTCTAACCTATTCTTTTCTTTTCTACATTATTCTGTTATATTCTGTTCTATTTTCATTAATACATTCATGGGGAAATGATCAGGCTATTAAGCAGTCTCTTAATGTGCAGGGACATCACACCAGGCAGTCCTATTGTTTTAGATGTTTTATTTTTACCTGGGCTGGCCCTCCCAAGTTTACACTCACGTCATTTTAATAAACCCATGTCTGTACTTGCCTAACAAGGTGTTTAATGGCCTCCACTTGAACTGTTTGTCATGTTATGCAAATTGTGGTAACACTTTATTTGACACCTAGCATCATAACACCTTATGACAAGTTCATAACCATGTCATAATGCTATAAAAGCTGACAAAACTATTATGACACATTTAGACCTGTTGTGACATATATTGTGTTATTTTATGGCTGGTTATGACACCTACTTAAGAGTGTCAAAACCCACAAAACCTACCACACAAGGCACACCATTCCATTACACCATAGCCTACTTGTAAACAGTATGATTGTTATATAACATTTTCTGAAATGTACCATATTAAATTATCATTGAAATTGCACACACATTGATGTCAGACATGTACCTACCCCAATGCTGCTGATGACTGGGATGAATGCAGGAGCAGATTTCAGGAGCAGGACAAGACACCCTCTTTGTGACTGATGACTGACATAAGGGTGTGCACGTGATAGGCCTATCTGGCTTACATGATTATGATGGTCATAATGCTTTTTGACAGTGTCATAACGTGTAATGTCTTAGTCCAAGTAAAATGACACAGGATGGTCAGAATGCATCATGATGACAGTGTCATAAAGTGTATTTTCTACAAGATATTCAAAAAACAAGGGAAAAAAACAACAACACCCAGGTGGCAACACGGATCTCTGCGTGCCTGGCAGACATCTCAGCTTGAAAAATGTATGCACTCACTAAAACTGTAAGTCGCTCTGGATAAGATACATGTAAATGTAATGTCGGCCCATCACATCAAGCTCAACCTCGACAAAATGGGGCTGCTCTTCCTCCCGGGGAAGGCCTGCTCGCTCCAAGACTTTTCCATCACGGTTGACAACTCCACGGTGTCCCCCTCCCAGAGTGCAAAGAACCTTGCAGTGACTCGCTCCTGCAGGTTCATGCTCTACAACATCCATAGAGTACAACCTTTCCTCACACTGGAAGCGGCACATGTCCTAATCCAGGCACTTGTCATCTCCTGTATAGACTACTGCAACTCTCTGTTGGCTGGGCTCCCCGCTTGTGCCATCAAACCCCTGCAACTTATCCAGAATGCTGCAGCCCGCCTGGTGTTCGACCTTCCTAAATTCTCCCATGTCACCCGCTCCTCCGCACACTCCACTAGCTTCCAGTCGTAGCTCGCATCATCTTCAAGACCCTAGTGCTTGCCAACAGAGCAGCAAGGGGAACCACCCCTCCTTACCTTGAGGCTATGCTAAAACCCTACATCCAAACCAGGTCACTCCGTTCCGCCACCCCTGGTCTCTTGGCCCTCCCACCCCTATGGGGGGGCAGCTCCCGCTCAGCCCAGTCAAAGCTCTTCTCTGTCCTGGCACCCCAATGATGGAACAAGCTTCCCCCTTTATTCAGGATAGCAGAATCCCTGCCCATCTTCCAAAAGTCTGAAACCCTTTGAAGAGTATCTTAAATAACTATTCACCTCCATCCCTGAATGCAGCAGATGCATTAGTTTCTCTAATAAATATAAGAAAATAACAGAAATCAGAATAGAGTATCCTACAATGCAGTGACACCACTAAAGTAAGCTGAACACTAAACCTTCATACCAAATATATTATGGCAAATAGCAAACACTTTCACACATTCTCAATACATTGCAAACCCATTTTCAATATTTTCTCAATACATTACAATCCCGTTTTCAATATTTTCATAACATAGTTAAAGCTAGCTCAATTATTCATGTAGCTAACTAGCTAACAGTTTGTTGAGCTAACGTTAGCTACCCTATCACTAAAGATGGTGGTGTGCAAACTAAAAGGGGGGACCAAAAAGTGCTGTAATTTCTAAATGGTTCACCTGATATCCATGAATATACCATCTAATTAAAGCTGACAGTCTGCACTTTAACCTCATAGTCATTGTATCATTTCAAATCCAAAGTGCTGGAGTACAGAGCAAATATTGTCACTGTCCAAATACTTTTGGAGATCACTTCTGATTCATCAGATTTGAGGGAAAAAACGAACCTTTGGACTTCCTGAACACAAAATCAAATTCTATTAGCTATATATCCATAATGGATTTCTCCAAATGTGTGGTATTTATACTGAACAAAAATATAAACGCAACAACGATTTTACAGAGTTACAGTTCATATAAGGAAATCAGTCAATTGAAGTAAATTCATTAGGCCCTAATCTATGGATTTCACATGACTGGGCAGGGGCGCAGCCATAGGCCCACCCAATCAGAATGCATTTTTCCCCACAAAAGGGCATTATTACAGACAGAAATACTCCTCAGTTTTATCAGCTGTCCGGGTGGCTGGTCTCAGACAATCCCGCAGCTGAAGAAGCCGGATGCGGAGGTCCATGGCTGGCGTGGTTACACGTGGTCTGCGGTTGTGAGGCCGGTTGGACGTACTGCCAAATTCTCTAAAACGACGATAGAGGCGGCTTATGGTAGAGAAATTAACATTAAATTCTCTGGCAACAGCTCTGGTGGACATTCCTGCAGTCAGTATACCAATTGCATGCTCCCTCAAAACTTGAGACGTCTGTGGCATTGTGTTGTGACAACACTGCACATTTTACAGTGGCCTTTTATTATCCCCAGCACAAGGTGCACCTGTGTAATGATCATGCTGTTTAATCAGCTTCTTGATATGCCACACCTGTCAGGTGGATGGATTATCTTGGCAAAGGAGAAATGCTCACTAACAGGGATGTATACAAATTTGTGCACAACATTTGAGAGAAAAGCTTTTTGTGCTGATTATTATTTTTTTCTGCTCAAAACTTTACGTTGCGTTTATATTTTTGTTCAGTATACAGTACATATACTTGTATAGAGTTGTAGGCCTAATATAAAGTAATGCGCTTACTTGCTTATGGGGGCGGGTTGTCATGCCATAGCTCTCAATTTGTTCTGAGACCAGTGTATCGGCAGATGTTGTCCACACGTTTCATGTGGTCTTCCAGGTCTTCTCCCATTAGAGGGTACCCACAGTATGACTGCTTGTGCCTTGCTCAGGATGGCTGAAACAGTGACCAGCAAATCTCAGCATCCTGGCCCTGTATGTTTCAAGCATCTCACAGTAGGAGTGCTCAACTAGGATCAGTTATTTAGATCATATTGAATAGGATTAATTGGACAGGATTTACATGATCCTAGATCAGCATTCCTTCTCCAATACGCTTGATACATACGGCCATTGATCTTCTCACTGATCCTGGGCAGAGTTCGGTACACCTCCTGGTTGGTAAGGTGTTGTAACCAGTGGACCCTGGTCTTGTCTCATGCATGAACAAACAAGCAATCAACATCATTGGAATACAAGAATAAAGCATTGTAAGTTACGTAACAATGTGTAACTCCATAATAAGTCATAAAGGGTGCTCTTGCACTCCCCCTGGAGGTAGGCTTTGGTAATAAAGATAGACATTCCATCCATCCCCTTAGTTTCTCATCACACTGACAGTCTGACACTAGCCTCTACTACAACGTGAGCAAAGCCTGGAAGCAGAGGCTACACTGAAACACACAATACTTTGAAATATTTCCCAAAATCCCTGTGTTTTTATTTATTTATTTGACAAGCAGCAGGACCATATTTGTCACCTCAATTTGTTTTGTTCTTTACATTTGAAAGTAGATACAATTATCAGTATACCGGTTTTATTACAATATCTTTTTCTAACTTCGATACATAAAAAAAAGAAAAAACAACTGCAAATGTGAGAAAAGAAAGCATGGTTTTCCACATCTAGCCTCCAACATTTCCGTCAATGTCACAGCTCACTCGCTCTTTTCCCATTCTTTTTTGTTTTCGGTTAAGTCAACAAAAAATATATTATCACCTTTGCACATGAATAGCTATAGGCATTTTTCATTGACGCAACGGTGCGTGGCACTGATGATGTTGTAAACAGCATAAAATCAGAAGGGGGGGGGGGGTCAGATGGTGTCGTGACTCGGTGGCTGTCTGGGGTGACTCGTTTTGTTTGTTTCCAAGATGGAGGCACATAGTCCAGCTTCATCCCTCCCTCCCTACGGGAGCACGAGAGACAGCAACAGCCCCACAATATATGAAGAAGAATGGTCTCCGTCGTTCTTTGCTTAACCTGCGGTTGGTTGGGGTAGGGGCCTTATACGCCATTATTCCTCCGTTATGCCACGTAGCTGTACTCGTCTGCAGAGCTCTGGCTCCGCTCAATGTACTGCTTGTCGATGAGCACCTCGATGCACTTCTTGATCATGCTGATACTGGGGTTAAATCTGGCTTTGGACTGGTTGATGACCTAAGGGAAGAAATGGACAGACCGAGAGAGAAATTAACAGCCTGCGTTATTCTGTTGTTGGTTGAATCGTGAATAATGATGAGTAAGAGGCATAAATATCATACCCCCCAAAAAATGCTAACCTCCCCTGTTATTGGTAATGGTGAGAGGTTAGCATGTTTTGGGGGTATGATCTTTGTGCCACTGTAACTTTCTCACTCATCATTTTTCACAATTACCCGTAATCATGGTAGCATCCACATTACTGTAGAAGTGTCCAGAAACATATTCTATTCATATTTACAAAAAGTGACTCCAAAATGACAATACATTATTTACCATTTGTATTTTTTGTATTTATTAAGAATTAGCTGATATCAAGGCAGCAAGCTACTCTTCCTGGGGTCCAGCAACATTAAGGAAGTTACATACAATAATAAATATTATATTACATTACATTTCATAACGCTTTTCACAACACATTGTGTGTCCTCAGGCCACTACTCTACTACCACATACAATATATTACCAAAAGTACAACTGCTCGTCGAACATCTCATTCCAAAAATCATGGGCATTAATATGGAGTTGGTCCCCCCTTTGCTGCTATAACAGCCTCCACTATTCAGGGAAGGCTTTACACTTGCTTCCATTCAGCCACAAGATAATTATTGAGTTCGGCACTGATGTTGGGTGATTAGGCCTGGCTCGCTGTCGGCATTCCAATTCATCCTAAAGGTGTTCGATTGAGTTGAAGTCAGGGCTCTGTGCAGGCCAGTCAAGTTCTTCCACACTGATCTTGACAAACCATTTCTCTATGGACTTCGCTTTGTGCACGGGGGCATTGTCAAGCTGAAACAGGAAAGGGCTTTCCGCAAACTGTTGCCACAAAGTTGGAAGCACAGAATCGTCTAGAATGTCATTGTATGCTGTTTTGTTAAGATCTCCCTTCACTGGAACTAAAGGGTCTAGCCCGAACCATGAAAAACAGCCCCAGACCAATATACAGCCCCACCGACGCATGGCATTGCGCATGGTGATCTAAGGCTTGTGTGCGGCTGCTCAGCCATGGAAACCTACTTCACGAAGCTCCCGACGAACAGTTCTTGTGCTGACGTTGCTTCCAGAGGCAGTTTGAAACTCGCTATTGAGTGTTGCAATCGAGGACAGACAATTCAGCACTCGGCGGTCCCGTTTTGTGAGCTTGTGTGGCCTATCACGTTTCCACTCCTAGACGTTTCCACTTCACAATAACAGCACTTACAGTTGACTGAGGCAGCTCTAGCAGGGCAGAAATTTGATTTACTGACTTATTGGAAAGGTGCCATCCTATGACAGTGCCACGTTGAATGTCACTGAAATCTTCAGTAAGGCCAATGTTTGTCTATGGAGATTGCATGGTTGTGTGCTCAATTTTATACACCTGTCAGCAACGGGTGTGGCTGAAATAGCCGAATCCACTAATTTGAAGGGGTGTCCACATACTTTTGTATATACAGTGTATCTCCAATGCAAAATCCATGTATACGTGTGTGTAGAGTGCATGTGTATGTGCCTGTGTGTGTGTGTCTCTTCACAGTTCCCGCTGTTCCATAATGTGTATTTTTATCAGTTTTTTAAAAATCTGATTCTACTGCTTGCATCAGTTACCTGATGTGGAATAGAGTTCCATGTAGCCATGGCTCTATGTAGTACTGTGTGCCTCCCATAGTCTGTTCTGGACTTGGGGATTGTGAAGAGACCTCTGGTGGCATGTCTTGTGGGGTATGCATGTTAATACTTTATTACAAAAACAAGTAGTGATGAAGTCAATCTCTCCTCTACTTTGAGCCATGAGATTGACATGCATAGTATTCATGTTAGCTCTCCGTGTACATTTAAGGGCCAGCCGCGCTGCCCTGTTCTGAGCAAATTGTAATTTTCCTAAGTCACTCTTTGTGGCACCTGACCACACGACGGGACAGTAGTCAAGGTGCGACAAAACTAGGGCATGTAGGACCTGCCTTGTTGATAGTGTTGTTAAGGCAGAGCAGCGCTTTATTATGGACAGACTTCTCCCCATTTTAGCTACTGTTGCATCAACATGTTTTGACCATGACCGTTTACAATCCAGGGTTACTCCAAGCAGTTTAGTCACCTCAACGTGCTCAATTTCCACATGATTCATTACAAGATTTTGTTGAGGTTTAGGGTTTAGTGAATGATTTGTCACAAATATAATGCTTTTTGAAATATTTAGGACTAACCTATTTCTTGACACCCATTCTGAAACTGCAGCTCTTTGTTAAGTGTTGCAGTGATTTCACTTGTAGCTGACGTATATAGTGTTGAGTCATCCGCCTACATAGACACACTGGCTTTACTCAAAGCCAGTGGCATGTCATTAGTAAAGATTGAAAAAAGTAGGGGCCTTGACAGCTGCCCTGGGGAATGCCTGATTCTACCTGGATTATGTTGGAGAGGCTTCCATTAAAGAACACCCTCTGTGTTCTGTTAGACAGGTAACTCTTTATCCTCATTTCTATTGGGCACAACATAATCCGAAACAAAAAAAAATACAAATGCATCCAACAAGTTTGTACAGTCACAAGCTTGATGTAGCTATTGTGTGCTAGGAATATGGGACCAAATATTAAACTTTTGACTACTTTCATACACATAAGTGAATTTGTCCAAATATTTATGACCCCTTCAAAATGGGGGGACTAGATATATAGTGCTTTCATTTCTAAATGATAAAACAGATATGTATGAAAATACCCTCAAATACAAGGTGACATTATGTACTGTCACCTCATATGAAACATTTGATCTTAAATCCAAAATGTTGGAGTATATGCAGGGGAGTGTATGTGGTGGGGAAGGTACGCCACTAAACCAGTCACTTAAGCCCTCATTTTAAAGTACAGGAGTGTTGTGTTGTTGGGGAGACAGGATATATGTGAGTGAGTGAGAGAGAGAGATAGATAGATGATGACAGCAGAAAGCAAGGTGCTGCAGCCTTCTCCCAGTCCCCAGGCGTGTTCGAAGATCATCCCAGATGGGAGACACTCATTCCTGACATCACTCTGTTCTGTGTCCCGGCCTCGAGATGACATCTCACCATCAAGGAAGGAGTTCACCTCCCTGACACAACAAACCAGAACATCAACACAGGAACACAGGAGGAAGAGAGCCAGGGGCTAGACTAGAGACCTAAACCAGGGAGGATGTAGTCCGTCTGGTCAGCTGACAGCTCTGTCCTCAGGAAAACCCTTGGATCTCTCCATTCCCCTGTTTCAACCGGTCTCTCAGGACTAGCAGGTAAAGCTCTGCTCGTATCTGAACAGTAACTTGCCTGTACCATTCACACACATTGCTTCAACCTGTAGCCTTGATATCTGTCTCAGGACCATGTATATGTACAGTACAGACCTGGGGTGAAATAGTTTGGTAACTGGCTATTTGTACATGGGTTTGTGGAAAATGACAGGAGTTGAACTCACCTCCTGTATGAGGGCGTTGTGTCTGAGCACTTTGCGTGCCTTCATGATTCTCACTATAGCAGCTTGTAAATACATTTTGCGGTCCTCGTCCACTGCACTCCTCGTCTGCTCCATCTCCTGCAGGGTTGGGGAAACACACACACGTATTTAAACAGAGGCAGACACTTTCAGAAAATAGGTGTTTGCATTGTTGGATGGATATAGACAGAGCTCTCAGTGTAGTAGAGTAATGTACCTGTGGTGTGTCTTTCTGCATTGACGTTGTGATCTTGAACTTTGTTCTTTTACTGGTGAAACTCATATTTAATGAAAACGTGGACTCTGCGTCGATTTCCTCCTGAAGACAAGAAAATAGTTACATACAGAGTATCCACCAAAAGGACTGAGAAATAATAAAAATGCCAAGATGAGCTACTTTTAAATCCATCTAACCGCTAAAGAAGATACTGCTGACTCTGGGTCTCTGGGTGACTCTATGGCTGCTGACATCTGACCCCTGACCTTTTGAGAGTCGTGGTTTAGCATCTTGACGTCCAGCAGGGACTTGATGGTCTTCTGAAGCTCCTTCTCGTTCATCTGGGTGGAGTCTTGGAGCTCCTTGTAGCCCACCTTTTAGGATATGATACAGCGCTAGTTCAGTGCTTAGGGCACAGTTATGAAGCTAGTTCAGTGCTTAGGGCACAGTTATGAGTTAATTCAGTGCTTAGAGCACAGTTAACACAGTCTACTTCCACCTGTTAGTATATGGAGGTAGTTTAGTGCTTAAGGCACAGTTAAGACAGCCCATTTCCACTAAACAGGTTGGTTTCGTAACACACCGTCTCGCTGTTGTTGAAGGCCAGCAGCACCGCCATCTGGTAGGTGGTCACCATGGCAACATAGGGCTTGGAGAGATAGTTCATCTTCACCTCACCTAAAGAGAGAGGGGAGCCAAGCATTGTCATCACCACAACACCAATGCTATACCACCATCTTATTCGCCACACCACCTATTGATAACAGGTTTGTATTTGTATTTTTAAAAAACGTATCTCAAGTGTAAGCAAAGCCAAGGAGAAATCAGACAAAAGTAATCCCCAATCCTAATGTGTTCTCTGGGTATTCTTGTAAACGCACACAGGGATTTAGTTCCAATCTGTTAACTGCAGTGTTTGTGTTGGGATTGCACCTGAGGTCTGTATGCTGTTGTAAGCTTTGAGGGAGTTTTAGCGCTGTGTGATTTCATGGATTATGTAGTAGTAGACCCAGGTGCAGCTCAGTGTTAGGTAGAATCAGAGCCTCTCTACTAACATGTAATAGTGTCACACTGATTTGGGATAAAACACTGCAGAGCATACAGACATAATCCATTTTAGACTATGGAATAATCATCCTGTTACTTCTGTTGAGCTATGGATGGGCCTGCCATGTAGTAGGGCTCCCGAGTGGCGCAGCGGTCTAAGGCACTGCATCTCAGTGCTTGAGGTGTGCGTCACTACAGACCCCCTGGTTCGATTCCAGGCTGTATCATAACCGGCCGTGATTGGGAGTCCCATAGGGCGGCGCACAATTGGCCCAGCGTCGTCCGGGTTTGGCCGGTGTAGGCCGTCATTGTAAATAAGAATTTGTTTTTAACTGACTTGCCTAGTTAAATAAAGGTTAAATGAAATAAAAATTTAAAAAAAGTAGCAGTTTCAGTGAAAAATAAAGTACTGCTGCTGACAAAAAATGTCACATCTTTTGCACTGGAGTTTCTATACCTGTGCAGAGATTGTGCAGCCAAGTCAACTTCCTCCCACTGAAGTGCTGATTATAGAACAACTCAAACTGTAGAGAAAAACATAATCATGTTAGAGTTACATAAGATTAAGATCTGCAGTTTTGTTGAATAGCATGTGTAACCTTGGGGCAACCACAGAAAGATATTGTTTTATTTCCAAACAACCACATCTAAGTCTCCCGAACCACTACTCACCATCTGTACACTCTTCTCCAGCTCCTGTGGGATGGCAAAGGTGGAGGAAGGGACGTGCGTGAGGGGCCAGGCTCCTGCCTGCAACGAGACAACACACACGGTGAGATATCTCCACCACCATTGCCATTGAGATTCTCACAGCAAACTAATTAACTAACTAATTAATTAATTAACTAATTACCCTCTTTCACTGCACTGTCACAACAACCTTTATTCATGGGAAAACAATACATTGGATACTTCTTTGATGTGTGTCATTTTCTCTTATGCTATCAACCTGCACATAAGGTAATGTCTATCTATTAATATGGGTGACGACTGCACATTTGCACATGATTGCTCCTATTTTATGTCTAACTGATATCTTTGCTATCCATCATATGTCTATATCATGCTGTATGGTTGTTATTGTTTTCATGTTGTTTCTTACCCTGACTGCACTATACACATTTGCGGACAATAAAGATATTAATTGAAGTAAACCCCTCTCACCTGTAATACATAGATCTGGAAGCTGATTCCCAGGTCGACTGGTGATTCCTGGGTCTTGAGGAAGTTGTTGAATTTGTTGTTCAGGTCTGCGCTGACGCTCATGTCTGTGTACATTCTGTGGAGCTTGCTCGTGAACTCATAGCCGCATGCTTGCTGCAGGGGGGAGAGGGACAGAGAGTTCACAGGGTGAAACAAGGGACAGGGAGAATGTGTGTGTGTGTGTGTGTGTGTGTGTGTGTGTGTGTGTGTGTGTTTGAAAGAAAGGCACGGATTACGGCCAAATATCACACATGATGACAGATGCATTAGAGTACAGTGGAGTCACACAGCTAGAAGACATTTACTATACTATATGGAGAAGCACATGCTTTAGGGCTTCGTTTGAAAGTTCTGTGGACTACTACTTTAAAGGGAAAGACTGACAGTTTAGAGAGTGATGCTCAACTATGGCATTAATAAATGGCATGTTAGCATCTTGTCCAGGGGGTGTACTTGTACATACATACAGAAACAGACGATTGGCTCCTGCCATATGGGCCATTCTGGCTCGGAAAATGCTACCTTTAGGCATAAAAGACCTTGAATGGCGCCTGATAAAGCTGAAAGGAGTCTTATTTCACCTTTAGTTTGTTGATCATGGCTTCCTCTGAGTCCATGGACAAGGACAGCCCGTGTATTAACCTCTTTGCTAACATTCTTGCATAAAACTGTACGAGAGAGAAAGAAGCGACAGAGAGGGAGAGTGTGAAAGAGAGAGGGGGGGCAAGAGACATCAACATGGTTAAAAAGAAAACATAAGACATCAATTCAACATCTCAGTCTCCAAATAAAATGTTTTTTTCTTTCAGATAAAGACCTTGAATGGCGCCTGATAACTCCAAAAAGTTTTGGGACACTGTAAAGTCCATAGAGAATAAGAGCACTTCCTCCCAGTTGCCCACTGCACTGAGGCTAGGAAACACTATCACCACCGATAAATCTACAATAATCGAGAATTTCAACAAGCATTTTGCTACAGCTGGCCATGCTTTCCATCTGGCTACCACTACCCCGGCCACCAACTCTGCACCCTCCGCTGAAACTTGCCCATGCCCCCCCCGCTTCTCCTTCACACAAATTCAGACAGCTGACGTTTTGAAAGAGCTGCAAAATCTGGACCCCTACAAATCAGCTGGGCTAGACAATCTGGACCCTTTCTTTCTAAAACTAGCCGCCGAAATTGTCGCAACCCCTATTACTAGTCTGTTCAACCTCTCTTTCATAACGTCTGAGATCCCCAGAGATTGGAAAGCTGCCGCGGTCATCCCCCTCTTCAAAGGGGGTGACACTCTAGATCCAAACTGCTACAGACCTATATCCATCCTGCCCTGCCTTTCGAAAGTATTTGAAAGCCAAGTTAACAAACAGATCACCGACCATTTCGAATCCCACCGTACCTTCTCCGCTATGCAATCCGGTTTCCAAGCTGGTCATGGGTGCACTTCAGCCACGCTCAAGGTCCTAAACGATATTATAACCGTGATCGATAATAGACAGTACTGTACAGCCGTCTTCATCGACCTAGCCAAGGCTTTCGACTCTGTCAACCACCGCATTCTTATTGGCAGACTAAATAGCCTTGGTTTCTCAAATGACTGCCTCGCCTGGTTCACCAACTACTTCTCAGATAGAGTTCAGTGTGTCAAATCGGAGGGCCTGTTGTCTGGACCTATGGCAGTCTCTATGGGGGTGCCACAGGGTTCAATTCTTGGGCCGACACTTTTCTCCGTGTATATCAATGATGTCGCTCTTGCTGCTGGTGACTCTCAGATCCACCTCTACGCAGGCAACACCATTTTGTATACATCTGGCCCTTCATTGGACACTGTGTTAACAAACCTCCAAACGAGCTTCAATGCCATACAACACTCCTTCAGTAGCCTCCAGCTGCTCTTAAACACTAGTAAAACTAAATGCATGCTTTTCAATCGAACGCTGCTGGCACCCGCCCACCCGAATAGAATCACCACTCTTGACGGGTCTGACCTAGAGTATGTGGACAACTACAAATACCTAGGTGTCTGGTTAGACTGTAAACTCTCCTTCCAGACTCACATAAAGAATCTCCAATCCAAAGTTAAATCTAGAATCGGCTTCCTATTTCGCAACAAAGCCTCCTTCACTCATGCTGCCAAACATGCCCTCGTAAAACTGACTATCCTACCGATCCTTGACTTCGGCGATGTCATTTACAAAATAGCCTCCAACACTCTACTCAGCAAATTGGATGTAGTCTATCACAGTGCCATCCGTTTTGTCTCCAAAGCCCCATACGCTACCCACCACTGTGACCTGTACGCTCTTGTTGGCTGGTCCTCACTACATGTTCGTCGTCAAACCCACTGGCTCCAGGCCATCTATAAATCACTGCTAGGCAAATCCCCGCCTTATCTTAGCTCATTGGTCACCATAGCAGCACCCACCCGTAGTCTGCGCTCCAGCAGGTATATCTCACTGGTCATTCCCAAAGCCAACACCTCCTTTGGCCGCCCTTCCTTCCAGTTCTCTGCTGCCAATGACTGGAACGAATTGCAAAAATCCCTGAAGCTGGAGACTCTTATCTCCCTCACTAACTTTAAGCATCAGTTGTCAGAGCACCTTACCGATCACTGCACCTGTACACAGCCCATCTGAAATTAGCCCACCCAACTACCTCATCCCTATATTGTTATTTATTTTGCTCTTTTGCACCCCAGTATCTCTATTTGCACATAATCTCTTGCACATCTAGCATTCCAGTGTTAATACTATTGTAATTATTTTGCACTATAGCCTATTTATTGCCTTACCTCCATAACTTGCTACATTTGCACACACTGTATATATATTTTCTGTTGTATTTTTGACTTTATGTTTTTTACCCCATATGTAACTCTGTGTTGTTTTTATCGCACTGCTTTGCTTTATCTTGGCCAGGTCGCAGTTGTAAATGAGAACTTGTTCTCAACTGGCTTACCTGGTTAAATAAAGATAAAAAAAAAAATCTGTAGCGAATTCAAAATTCAGTCTGGAAGGAATAAAAAGCAGCCATACTAGCTGTCAATATCGCTGGTCATTTGAGATAATGAGAGTAATAACGCTAATGCCTGTCTGTCAGCTACCTTTTGAAAAACGTCCTTGTCGTCTATGTACTTGAACACGGTGATGAAGCTAGTCAGCTTGTCCTCCACCTCGTTCTCTGTCATTCCCTTTGCAGACTTCTTCAGCAGATTGTCACAATACTTAGCGAGCTACATGGGTAAAGGGAACAACAACACAAGGTCAGACATTACTATGGTCCTCAAAACAAATGTTGAAAAAAACACAGGTAAAGTAGTAGAGATCTAGACAAACTGCTGTGTACAGGGTTTTTACTTTGTTTATTACTATGGTCTTATCTGATACCCCCACACATTTCCAAACCTCAGGTGTCATGAATGAGTCTCACACTCACCAGTTCAGGTGCTTTGCAGATGGATTTGGGCTCCCTGTAGTTAACCACTGAAGTCAAAGCCTGGGGAGGATCAAACAAACCAGTCATTTCCCCCCCCCCCATCAGTTTCAGTAAGACATCCACAGCTAAGACATCAACTAATAAAAATAGTTAAAAGTTATGTTTTAACTTATGAAGAGCCTTAGGAACAATCTTGTGAGAAACAATATGGAGCCACATCCCATAGTGAACACAAATACCACTCACTGGCGCCACCTACTGGCCTGACCTGTCCCTAGTGTCCACATTCTGATTTCCCCTCTACACCTGCCAGCCAGTCATAACATTAATACCTTATCAAGTGCGCTCATGAAGTGCTGATCCCCATTCAGGACTGTGTTAATGAGCTGAACAAATTTACTGTGAACCTCCAATACGGACTCCACAAACAGGGTTGGCATCTGGGGAGGTAACAACACAACAGGAGAATTAGCAGTGAGTTGTGAATATTATGTTTGTGATAATGGTAATCTGATAATGCATAGGCCTACTGATAATACATACTGATAATGCACAGTGATAATGTACAGTGTTTGAAGTCCAAAAACAATACATTTAGACAAAAGGATTAGCAGGATGATGATAATCAGATAACGTACAATGATAATGTATAGTGATACACAAAGATGTGACGTACGTTTTCCTGAGAGAGGTTACTGGTGGCTCGGAGGCCCTCGTCGTGGATATGGATCTGGAGCTCCTGGATCATGTGAGGTAAGCCGCTGGACACGGCTCTCAGCAGGGTGTACATGTTAGCCATGTCTGTAGCGGGTAGAGAGAGGGAGAAAGAGGGGAGAGGAGAGAGACCATGGGATCCATGGGAGAGTCAGTCATGGAGACAGGGTTCGTACAGACAATGGCAAGTCAAATTCAAGGACTTTCAAGTACTTTTTCAAGCACTAATATTTATTTTCAAGGACCACCAATTTGTAATAGTTCCTATTATGAAATTGTTTCTAGTCGCCACCAGATGGCAGTATATCGCCACAACCTCAAATGAGAAAACAAATGTACTATTCATCACTACCTCACAAGTTCTACTCAATAATAAGTGTTTCACTACTTAATTACTACATACATGAGTGGTATGTCAGTAGTGATGATGTTGTAATTTGAGTAGTGATGAGCAGAGTTTTGGGATGTGCCAACTGGTGAACACATTTCCTATTCGCATTACTAGACAATTCCAGCTTAATGACTATTGTATTACTATAGGGCATTTAGAAATCTACTACTTAATAGCTACTAAATAGTGTAGTAACTGCGTTTGTGTTCATGCTATGTAATACTGTTTAATTGATATCACAATATGTGACTAATTATATTTTATAAACTGTAGCCGCAATAATCTTTGAAGCCACAACAACCTGTTGCTGGTGAATTCAAATTCATAAATGGAGCTATGGATCAATGATCAGGACAGTCAATGAGATCAACATGATTGTTTAAAACAAACTCAATGACAACAATAAAACAACCTTTTATTTTAGGTTACAGACCTAAATGTTTTATGTTTAACCATTTTCAACAACCATCTCAAAAATGTCCATGTCAATAAAGTTAATTGAATTCAAATGAATTGGAGAGAGAGAGAGAGAGAGAAAGAAAGAGAGAGGGGGAGAGAAAGAGAGGGGTGGGTTTAGATGTATTATTGACATTGTATATAACAGATGGCAGTCTGAACAGTATATCAGAGGGATGAGACTACGGAATAAGATGTGTTCAGCTAATAGTGATAATGGTTGAAATAAAGACTTTGAAAGCAAATGGTGGATGAAGGTGAGAAAACTAGCTACCTGTTGTCTAATTAAGCAATAAGGCCAGAGGAGGTCCGTATACCACAGGTATGACAAAACATTTATTTTTACTGCTCTAATTACGTTGGTAACCAGTTTATAATAGCAATAAGGTTCCTCGGTGGTTTGTGATATATGGCCAATATACCACGCCTAAGGGCCGCAATGTGTCGTGCCTAAGAACAGCCCTTAGCTGTGGTATATTGGCCATATATCACAAACCACCGAGGAGCCTTATTGCTATTATAAACTGGTTACCAACGTAATTAGAGCAGTAAAAATAAATGTTTTGTCATACCTGTGGTATACGGTCTGATATACAACGGCTTTCAGCCAATCAGCATTCAGGGCTCGAACCACCCAGTTAATAATTTAAAAAAACACATCTATGGGCATAGCACACATGTAACAGAGTGTGGACACAGCAAAGATCAACATCACAGCTCACCTGATAGTAATAATAATAATAAATAATATGCCATTTAGCAGACGCTTTTATCCAAAGCGACTTAGTCATGTGTGCATACATTTTTACGTATGATAGATCATTCAGAGTGGTAGACAGGCCTTTCTCTCTCTGAAAACATTCAATTTAATTTCAACAACAATGTAAAACATTTCCATTTCAATAAAGTTAATTGAATTATACTGAACACAAATAAAATGCAACATGCAACAATTTCAAAGATTTTACTGAGTTACAGTTCATATAAGGAAATCAGTCAATGAATTCATTAGGCCCGAATCTATGGATATCACATAGATTACATACACGTCGATCCAGAGCATCCCAAGCGTGCTCAATGTCTGGTGAGTATGCAAGCCATGTAAGAACTGGGCCATTTTCAGCTTCCGGGAAGTGTGTTCTGATCCTTGCGACATGGGCCCGTGCATTATCATGCTGAAACATGAGGTGATGGCGGCGGATGAATGGCACGACAATTGGCCTCAGGATCTCGTCACGGTATCTCTGTGCATTGAAATTGCCATTGATAAAATGCAATTGTGTTCGTTGTCCGTAGCTTATGCCTGCCCATACCATAACCCCACCACCACCATGGGGCACTCTGTTCACAACGTTGACATCAGAAAACTGCTCGCCCACACAACGCCATACACGTGGTCTTAGGTTGTGAGGCCGGTTGGACGTACTGCCAAATTCTCTAAAACGATGGAGGCGGCATATGGTAGACAAATTAATATTAAATTATCTGGCAACAGCTCTGGTGGACATTCCTGCAGTCAGCATGCCAATTGCACGCTCCCTCCAAACTTGAGACATCGGTGGCTTTGTGTTGTGTGACAAAATTGCACATTTTAGAGTGGCCCAGCACAAGGTCCACCTGTGTAATGATCATGCTGTTTAATCAGCTTCTTGATATGCCACACCTGTCAGGTGGATGGATTATTTTAGCAAAGAAGAAATGCTCACTAACAGGGATGTATACAAATTTGTGCACAACATTTGAGAGAAATTATTTCAGCTCAACACTTTACATGTGTTTATATTTTTGTTCAGTCTATATTGAAGAGAGTGAGTGAGTTAGTGTGTGTGATGTGCTCACAACAGTCCAAGCTCAGCCTTTTTATATTCTATTGATCTTCTGAAGCTGTTGAACTTGATTATGTATTCTCTGGACTTTAAGGAGGTCTCTGCCTCTGCAGCTACCTTTTCCATTTAGTTTTGCAAGTGTTCCATGTCCTTTTCCAGGCATCTCTTTTTTTCTTTGAGGTCCTCATTGTCTCCCCTTTTATTTTCTCTGCAAGCCAGAAAACAAATAACAATTAACTTTTCTCAGTATTACCGTGGTGTCTTATTATTTGTCAAAAGATGTCCACAATTCATCTCATGTTAGGTTGTATTTGTAATGGACTATCCCTTTACTTGACATTTACAGTGCCTTTAGAAAGTATTCACACCCCTTGACTTATTCCACATTTTGTTGTGTTACAGCCTGAATTTAAAATGGATGAAATTGCATATATTTAATTTTTTGGCCTACACAAAATACCCCATAATGTAAAAATTGAATTATGTTTTTTGATATTTCTACAAATTAATAAAAAATGAAAAGCTGAAATGTATTGAGCCAATAAGTATTATGGAAAGCCTAAATAAGTTCAGGACTAAAAATATGCTTAACAAGTCACATAAGTTGCATGGACTCACTGTGTGCAATAATAGTGTTTAATATGATTTTTGAATGATCTCTGTACCCCACACATACAACTATCTGTAAGGCCCCTCAGTCGAGCAGTACATTTCAAACACAGACTCAACCACAAAGACCAGGGAGGTTTTCCAATGACTCGTAAAACAGAGCACCTATTGGTAGATGGGTATAAAAAAAAAAAAATCCTTCAACTGAGAGAAAGGAAAACGCTCAGGGATTTCACCATGTGGCCAATGGTGACTTTAAAACACTTAAAGAGTTTAATGGCTGTGAAAGATGTTGGAACATTGCTGCGGGGACTTGCTTCCATTCAGCCACAAGAGCATTAGTGAGGCCGGGCACTGATGTTGGGCGATTCCAATTCATCCCAAAGGTGTTCGATGTGGTTGAGGTCAGGGCTCTGTGCAGGCCAGTCAAGTTCTTCCACACCGATCTCGACAAACCATTTCTGTATGGAGAAAACTGAGGAAAAAACATTTCTTTATGGAAAAAACTGAGGATGGATCAACAACATTGTAGTTACTCCACAATACAGTGAGGGAAAAAAGTATTTGATCCCCTGCTGATTTTGTACGTTTGCCCACTGACAAAGAAATGATCAGTCTATAATTTTAATGGTAGGTTTATTTGAACAGTGAGAGACAGAATAACAACAAAAAAATCCAGAAAAACGCATGTCAAAAATGTTATAAATTGATTTGCATTTTAATGAGGGAAATAAGTATTTGACCCCCTCTCAATCAGAAAGATTTCTGGCTCCCAGGTGTCTTTTATACAGGTAACGAGCTGAGATTAGGAGCACACTCTTAAAGGGAGTGCTCCTAATCTCAGTTTGTTACCTGTATAAAAGACACCTGTCCACAGAAGCAATCAATCAATCAGATTCCAAACTCTCCACCATGGCCAAGACCAAAGAGCTCTCCAAGGATGTCAGGGACAAGATTGTAGACCTACACAAGGCTGGAATGGGCTACAAGACAATCGCCAAGCAGCTTGGTGAGAAGGTGACAACAGTTGGTGCGATTATTCGCAAATAGAAACACAAAATAACTGTCAATCTCCCTCGGCCTGGGGCTCCATGCAAGATCTCACCTCGTGGAGTTGCAATGATCATGAGAACGGTGAAGAATCAGCCCAGAACTACACGGGAGGATCTTGTCAATGATCTCAAGGCAGCTGGGACCATAGTCACCAAGAAAACAATTAGTAACACACTACGCCGTGAAGGACTGAAATCCTGCAGCCAAGGTCCCCCTGCTCAAGAAAGCACATATACAGGACCGTCTGAAGTTTGCCAAGGCAACAAAGGAGTGGCTCAAGAAGAAGCACATTAAGGTCCTGGAGTGGCCTAGCCAGTCTCCAGACCTTAATCCCATAGAAAAACTGTGGAGGGAGCTGAAGGTTCGAGTTGCCAAACGTAAGCCTCAAAACCTTAATGACTTGGAGAAGATCTGCAAAGAGGAGTGGAACAAAATCCCTCCTGAGATGTGTGCAAACCTGGTGGCCAACTACAAGAAACGTCTGACCTCTGTGATTGCCAACAAGGGTTTTGCCACCAAGTACCAAGTCATGTTTTGCAGAGGGGTCAAATACTTATTTCCCTCATTAAAATGCAAATCAATTTATAACATTTTTGACATGCGTTTTTCTGGATTTTTTTGTTGTTATTCTGTCTCTCACTGTTCAAATAAACCTACCATTAAAACTATAGACTGATCATGTATTTGTCAGTGGGCAAACGTACAAAATCAGCAGGGGATCAAATACTTTTTTCCCTCACTGTACTAACCTA